GTAAGATTTAACGCAACAACCAATGACAAAAATGTATCCCATCATATTTATGTATGTAAAAATCACTCGTACATATTTTTTTCTCTCATCAATACTGAATATGTTCATCAGCGGTTACAGTTATATCAAGCAAGGATACGTTTGTGTTTTATTTTGTGATTACACCGGAATGAATAAGAGTCCGCAACGGCGATAGATTGAAGCGCGCGTCCGAGTGAAGCCTGCGCGAGGCACAGAGCACTGTATCCATGCAACTGATCGCCGCGGCAACGAGCGCGCAGCTTGAGTTCAAAAACACATTTTAGCGCTAGATTTCTTATTTAATAGCGAACTAAATGAATGATCTGCTAGTTAACTGAAGATGTTTTATTTATTTATATTACGTACATGGTGGGACAGACTTTACTGGATCTAAAAAAAAAAAATCTAACCATAGTGAAGTGGTGGCTTTCTTAATATGTTTAAAATAATTTTGCAAGGGTTCTTCACACACACACACACACACACACACACACAAAAAAAGGTTTCTCTACCTCTCTCTTCCTCTCTAAATGCCCACAAAATCTGACTAAGCATCCAAGAAAAAAGCAAAGTTATAGATACAGATATGGAAGTTGTTCGGTTTTTTTTTGTTTGTTTTTTTTGTTGCTGTGCACTTTACTACCTGTGGTCCTTTAAGTGTGTTAGAAAAACTGATGGCTGACTGACTCAAAACATTATTTTGGCTATAGCCTTTTTTGTTGCTGTTTTTAGTTTAAAGTAGTCTAAAGCTAAATTTAAAGACTCAGATGTTCTGTCTTTTATTAATTTTATTTTACATTCTACAGGAAAGTTGTATGTCAAGCCCTAAGTCTAAAGCTAAATTTAAAGACTCAGATGTTCTGTCTTTTATTAATTTTATTTTACATTCTACAGGAAAGTTGTATGTCAAGCCCTAAGCTGCTCCCAATAACCAAGCTGCTATGTTAATACATGTTGCTTGCAAATAAATACACAGGTGTCAATTCATTATGCATTGTCTTCTCTTAAATGTAATACTTAATGTACATTGTTGTTAAATATAGTTTAATAAGTAATGCTACATGATAAAAAGAAGTCTTCAAATAGACCCTGTAATCGGTGATCGGTATCGGTATCGGGTGATACAGCTTCCAGTAATCGGCGATCGGTGATCGGCCCCAAAAATCCTGATCGGAGCACCCCTAATTTTTTGTCAGAGTTTATCACTTCATTTTTATTGGCACTTCACATCAATGCAGCAATGTGGTAAATCATGGTAAATCACGATAGAAACATGGTAAATCATAGTAAAAAATACTATTACATGGTGTATCATGGCAAATCATGCTAGCAATGTGATGAATCATGGTAAATCATGCTACAATCCTGGTAAATCATTCTAGAATGTGGTATATCATGGTAAATCATCCTATAACATGGTAAATCATGGTAAACTATGTTAAATCATGCTAGATTCATGGTAAATCATACTGGAACATGGTAGATCATGAAAAATCACACTAAATTTGGTATATCATGGTAAATCATGCTAAAACATGGTCTATTCCATCTATGATGTCAATGGTTAAATGCTTGCTACATAAAACTTAATGTCTTTTGATGTTTTTGTGCTTAACGGCCTTAAAGGCCTTAACTGCTTGAACACCGCTAAATGCTGCTTGCAGCTTTAATTTTAATCGTAATTGTAATGCTAAATGCTCTCATACTTGCAAGTCATGAAAATCAACATAAAAATCCATCACCTTACAGATCCGTTTTAAAGTAATAAAATTAAACCTAAATAAGAACTAACACAATTGTGGAGAAAATGACAATTTTATCCCAGCAATACATTCTTGGAACAGAAGTGGGTGATGTTCATCCCTAAGAGTATCTTAGACTTACCACAATAACATCCCAGTTCATTTGGAGTTACACCTACAAGTCCTATTCAAATTTGAGGATAAATGAGTGACTACTTGTGACAATATATCCATGAAGAGGACGTCCATTCTAATTAGGTTTCATCCATCAAGGTTAACCAGACGTAAACAAGGGCACAGTTCATGCAGAGTCTGCCAGTCACTAGATATGCAGCATTTCCTCTTAATTTAGTCTCTCTCAGGACCATATGAAGCTGACAGGAGCAAAAAATGTCCATCACACTGATGACGAACATCACCGAAACAGAACTTCACAAGATCAATGACGCACTGCTATGGTATGATCGAAGTTTCATTACCTCAGGTTTTCATTACAAGCTGTTATTTATGGCGTGAGGTGAATGAAGAGGAATTTCAAGGCTTTAACTTCCACCAGCCTCCATCACTCTGACCAAACACATTTGCCCTCTTTCTCTGCTCTAGCTGCTGTATTTCTTCTGCCCTTAAAGAAAGTGACTTAAAACAATTTCAGAGTTCTTTAGTTCTCTCCCTCATTCATCTTTAAATCATCGCTAATAATGCCGAAGGGAATAATTTCAGTTTATCATTAAAATAACAGCGAGCGAGAGGACGTTACCAGTCAGCCCCTCAGGAAATGAGTGTTATATAATCTCACATCAGAACCTTCTCTAGAATGCAGGCAAGATCAGCTAAATTACATACATTAGTTTGTGCATTCACAGTTCAAAACTCAACTTGCAAAAACAAACCACCATGAGGTGGCCACCACTTAATTCAGGGTGCCTCTAACGATGAAATGTCTAGACTATATTTTCTTCCAAAATAAAATAGAACAGAATGTGAATATTAAAAACATTTACAATATTCTAATAGTCTTAGGCTGTAATATGTACATAAACACCTATTATGTGATTCGTAATATATAAATAATATGATACAAATCCCCCTTCTCTCTTCATGTCTGTTTTAATCACTCTGTCAGGGTTTATTTTGTATAAATAACAAACAGACTGTGCATTTATTATCTTCTATTACAATACGATAAGCCAATAACTATTTTCATGTTATGGCAGATAAATGGCTGATATGAAAATTATGAAATTTTTTTCAAAATTAAACTAAAAATAAAACAAACTAAAATCAATAGTTTTACTGTAAATGCTACAAGTGAATTTACTAGTCGATATTAAAACGCACAAATATCTAATATCGACTAATCCATAAATAAATGTAAAAATAAAATCTCCAGTGTAATTGAAATGGTACCAACATACGCAGGCATCCCTAATTGAAATGATGTAGTTATGCGAGAGAAATTAAACTGCAGAATGCTGAGATTAAACAATAAGAATTAAATATTCCAGACAGCTGTGTACTAAAACAACTTAAATTGTTCATTATACATTTTGGGTAAGAAATGACCTGGACACATTCTTGACGGGTTGGGTGAAATTCACCTTATAACACTGCATTACCAATGAAACAGGATAATATTATCTCAATTCGTGTCTCATACTGTGGAGATCTCTTGGTCTCTATTGATTGTGAGTTTGTGATATCAAGCATGTTAAACTAACAGCATGCTCAGAAGTGTTGCACATTGCCGCAAGCACAGTGGACACTGATTGGTAGTACACACAACCTTGGTGGAAACGCGAGTACCGGCCAGCCTCTGGTGTGCAGTGTGTGTATGCGGCTGGAGGCAGGTTGGTCTAATATAAGGTGTGGAGCTAAAGACTCAAGGAAACTCCAGCAGCAGGAGAGGAGTAATTGGGCTTTGCTGCATCATTAAGCTCTGTTAGGCACAGTCACACCATCAGAGGCTCCATCAGAAACCAGACGACAGGGGGTGAAATTTGTAGTGCACAATAGGAGAAAACTTTTTAGCTCCCCAGCCAGTTTATTAATAACAAACATGAGAGCGCTTACGGAAAGCAAAAGCTGTCAAAAGTGTGAGAAACAATCATAAACGAAACTAGGTTTACAATAACGGGGTGACACTTTGTCAGCGGCAAGGACCTAATTATTATCATCAGGGCCCTGGCATCCAGTTTTTTTGTTTTTTTTTTGATAGATGAAACAACCATCTCAGATGTACTCAATTAAAGCAGCTAGGAAAGCAGGAAACAATTGTCCATCATCTGGGAAATGGGACACAACAGTAAACAGTGAGGAGCGTGTGTAGCTTGTGTGCTTAAACTGATATAAAGAAGCTACAGCTGTCGAATTTGCAGAGCTAGTATAATTTTAATAGCGAGAGTTTTCATTAGTGGTGGACCACTATTACTCATATTTTAGGTTAGAGATCTGAACAAACCCTAACCACAATTCTTGCAGACTCCGCAATTTGTGCTATAGACATGACATCAAAACAGCCATTACTCCAGTCTTTAGTGTCTCATGATCGTTTTGAAATCATTCTAATACTTGATTTGCTGCTCAAGAAACATTTTTTATAATGTTTAATATCTGTGTGGAAACCGTCAAACTTTCTTTGATGAATAGAAGGTTCAAAAGAACAGCATTTATTTGAAATAGAAATCTTTTGTAACATTACAAATGTCTTAACTGTCACTTTTGATAAATTATGTTGCGTCCTTTTATTAATTTCTTAATAAGAAATTGCTGATCCCAAACTTTAGTGCAACGTGCTAAAATGTCCCAAAAAAATGATTTGGTTATAATAAATTAATTAGGTGGAAGTGAAATTTGAATCACGCGGTGAAATTCTCAACAACAAAAAAATTTAATAGAACGCTAAAGAGGGTTTTGCAAGCTAAAAGCTACAAAAACAACAGGAAAAGAAAATAACGGCACATCTACCACCCACAATAACCTAACATTATAGTGGGTGAGTACTGCATGTAAATATTGCATGAAAACGAACCACATTATTTCTGTAAAAAAAATGTTTTAAATATAACATGAACAGTGAATGTACAAGCTACAAAGACATTTAAATTTTCATTACAGAAACAGAGAGATGAAAAGAAGTGTGCACTTGCGCAGATATCCACTATACAACAACTTTTATGTGTCACAGACATCTTTCTATGCGTGAGTGAATAACACATGCGGGTTAAGGTCATGCTGTACCTTGTTTAGTCAGAGCATCTCTCAAGGCAGGAGTGATCATCTCTCTCCGCTCCTCCTCTGTCTCGCTCTTCCTCACTCCATTCTGCTTTGACAGCTTCACCCTCTGGGACTCCTCTTCATCTCCCTCCATCCTCTGCAGCACATACAAATCACAAAGAAAAAAAGACAAAACCAGTCACATATTGAAAAAAACAACTCATTCATAGTAACACAACCAATGGCAGTGCGTCAGTGGAACAAAATGAGTCTGAACTTTCTCAAAATATTATTCAATATGTACATAACTAACGAGATCAAATTAACTCTTGTTTTATTCAATTTTCTTACTAATTTGCATAACTCAGAGATATGATTTTTCAGTCTGCCAGCCCAGGTGAGTTTTAATCACTGTACCAATACCTTGAGATCGATTATTCAGCCAACAACACTGAAAATACATCTTACCAAAACATTTCAGCGGGGAAAATAAAAACTTACAACACAGCCTTTGAAACAGACTACTTTGATGCAGATGAGAAAGTGGCTGTGAGGGATCCAAGTAAATATTATGCTTAACCTTACTACATATCTTTCCTCTCTTACACCTGTTTCCCACTAAACGCACAAGCAGAGCAGAAGCAGAGCAGAAGCTGTGCGTATGCTGAGCGGGAGCAGCACTCGCCCATTTTATTTTTTTTCACACTGGCTGCGTTTGTCACGCTTAGCTGAACCTTGTTTACGACAAATAGACTAATTTTGTCAGCTTTTTCAGGTGTTCTCCTTCGACCACTGTCTGTGCAGCATACTCTGCTGCGATGCGACCATGTTCCCCCTTTTTTTCGTGTTAACTATTTTGACCTAAAACAATGCACTTTGGCTTTAATTCAGTGCGAGCAGCGCAGCAAAAATAGACTTGGTGGCGAAAGCCTGACTTTTGATTTCCTGCATTTTTCCCTAAATGTTACTATTCCATATTTCTTCCCTAAGTATATATATTATGTCGGTATTTGCAATTTTTTTCCACACTAAAAGGTCAGAGACAGTCTGGTTTTCAGTTTCAGACACTGTGAGTCAAAGGTGCGGTACTGTATGTGGCAGATGAAGGGAATCATCATTCTAAGCTGGACTCCATAGGTCATAGTAAATGCTCTTACCCTGACAGCATGTCACAATACATTCAAAGGATCTATATGAAATGTGCAGTACATAAAACACAAGGCTGTCAAAACAATTAATTACTAAAAACCACACCAATTTATCATTGTAAGGCTCAGTTTGTGCTCTTACCATACCTTAGATTTATACATTTCAAATAAAAAAACAGACATAGTATCAATATGTTTACTCCTTTAGCTTCAATAAAAATAAATAAAAACAGAACAAAAATTTAAAACAAAAACAGAAAAAACCTGAACAACAACAACAACAAAAATCTATCCTTTTCAGCCCATTCTAAACTATGTTCTTTCAAACTACAATGTTCATGTAAACAAATAGGCACTTAAGCCCTACAGGTGCTTCCTTCTGATATTAATTTTCCTACCAGTGGCACGTCTCTGCCCCATCGTCTCTGCCTGCCTTGATTTGTGTTCTTGAGACAAAACTTTGAGGTCCCTCAACATCCGGTCTGAGAGACAGGTGCTAAACCTGCTGTGTTTCAGTGTGACTTTGATTGTTTGTTCCAGAGTACACAACGTCCCTTGAGCAAAATCCAACAGTAATAGCAGCTAGCAGGTGGAAGGCACCAGGTGGGGTTGGGTTGAGAAGCGGACATTATGCCCTTTCACAGCAAGATCTGTCATGGAACTGCCATGCACAACGTAGAGTTGACTAGGCTGCAATCGTCGGCTCTCTGCACCCCTCCTCTTTCAGATTGGCAGAACTGAAGCAGCTCTCTTTAGCTGGAAACGCTCCATTTCCCACAAACCACCCTTGCAAGTGTCAGCGGCGATGCAGGCAGTGGCCCTGCAGAGTTCAGGCTGATCAGCTGACACATTCAGACTGACAGCCAGCCAAAATGACAACAAGCCGCTCCGGCTGCCGCCCGTCCCACACGGGCTGATGTGGCCGCAGGACAATGCCCATTCACGAGCGGTTATCTCAATTTCCACCTTGCTAATACTACACAGTGAAAATACTGCCTCAATCCACACATGCACTAAGCCTATGCATGACATTGAAATGTGTGCTTTAATATATATGTATATATTAATCTGCAAATACTCAGTGGACTACCAGAATAATGTCTCAAATGAGCTATAAAGGAACAGTTCAACTAAAAATAAAAATACTGTCATTTACTAACCCTCATGTCATTCCAAACCTGAATGTTATGCTCTGGAACACACACAGAAAAAGAGGATTTTTGGAGAATTGTCACAACTTTACAGTTGCATGAAAAGATTTGTTCGACGAGTCTTCAAATTAAATTGATCAAATAACTTTGTTTCACAGAATAAAGAAATTTATACAGGTTTGTAGCGAAATAAGGAGGAGCGTGAATTTTAATTTTTGGGTGAACTATTTCTTTAACACGAAAAGTAAGAGGCTCTTAGGCAGTGGCTATTGATTTTAGGAGTGGGAGTGAGTCTATACTCCGGTTATTACCAAATTGGATAATGGAAAGGAGTCAACAGCCACTTATTTGGTTTATTAAGGATAGGGACAATCTCAATTGTAGAGAGCATTTAACTAGAAATAAGGACCGTGCAGGATATATCACCTACACTTTTGGCCCACTTTCCTAGGAGAGAAACCTAACTTTAAATAAATAAATAAATAATAATATATTACTGACTGAACAGCAATGTATGTTTTAAATGAATTGATCATTAATTTGCATTTGCAATTTTGCAAATTGATCAAACATGACAGTACAGACATTTATAATGTTACAACAGATATCTATTTCAAATAAACACTGTTCTAATGTAAAATGTTTTTTTAGCAACCAATCAGAATATCAAAATGATTTCTGAAGTATCATGTGACGCTGAAGACTGAAGTAATGATTCTGAAAACTCAGTAGCCACCACAGGAATTACATTTTAAAATATATTACAAAAGAATACCGTTATTTTAAATTGCAATACTTTTTTACAACATTACCAATTTTATTTTTTAATCAAAGAAAGCAGCCCTGGTAAACGGAAGAGACATTAAAAAAATATAGATGGCCTTTAAGGGGGTCTTTAAAGGTGAAAATTCTGCACCACTAGCAGCCCCATATGAACATTTTCTAAAAGGTTTCTGCCACTGCTAGAACAAACCCTCTCAAAACTCATGCCAGTGTTTGAGCCAAATGTAACCTACATCGTGCCACTCCAACAAGCCATACAGAAACTGCCACAGAGTCATACACACAAGCCTATGAATGGATTACATGTTATCTCTGCACCTCAAACTGGGATGACCAATTATTTTAAATTAAACTCATAAATAGAAATTCTTTTCTTTTTATATAAAAAAAAATATCACTACTAAAGCAGTGCAGATCATACAGGAATGCAAGGTCAGGAGTCTGCATTAGTAAAGCCAAGATACAATATGTCTCTGATGCCATCTGGAGCCAAAGCGGAGTAATTCTTCACCCGCAAGACCCATATCTACACAATCTAGACACACTGTATTTCAAAACAGTTGTCATTATTCCAGTGTCATTAATACATAATTATTCACCACTAAGAATGTGAATTATGCATGCATCTAATTATGGCTTGCATATTATCTAATATGAAATAATATGCTGAGAAAATTTGCATTAATGTAAGAACCCTTTCAAAATGTATGCACTGCTCTTAAATGACAAAAATGATAAACTACAGCAAAATCAAACAGAGAGCAGAGCAGATGACCAACTGACAGATGCATCATGTTACCAGAGTATTAAAGTAATGGTGTGTTTCTCCTCCGTGTTAAAAGTGCAACTGTTCTGGGAGAGCGTGAAGATGAAACAAACTCAGAGATAAACAAACCAGTTTAGCTAGATCAACATAAGAGTACCAATGGCATTTGCTGAAAATAAGGGTTATTAGAGGTTTGTGACTTTTGGTGGAGCATTGAGCAGTGACTCACACAAACAGTAGAAGGTAGACAATACTTCTGTCACTAAACTAGAAACAAAATTGAAGTGTCTTTTATGTTAAAATACATCCCATCACATCTAAATACGCAGAAACAAGTGGCATACTGTGGCATTATCAAAAAATTACTTTTTGTAGCATTCTGACCAGCCTGACACAGCAATACTGGCTCAACCAATGGAGTGAGTTTGGAGTGAGACTATCTGATTGGCTGACTAATGGGAGATGGGATGAGCGTTCAGAAAACCTTCTTGCAAATCTGTTTGGTGGTGACAATGACACAGAAAGGACACACTTCACCTCTCAGACATGAAAGTCCTAATGCATCGAACTTCTAACATGATGGTTTTAGAGTACAGCAATATATTCAGCAAAATTAACAAATTAAACATGCAGAGAGACATTTTATCTATTATCATTTGACTGGATCTCAGATGTGTTATTGCTGGTTAAATTTTTTTAGCCTGGCCATACAGACTTGGTTGAGAGGGAAAAGTCATTATGATCATTTCTTTGAAATAACAATGAATCATTCACAATATAACCAGAAACCTCACTTTCTATCATTCTCACACTATCATTTCCACACCTGACCAATTTAATTTAATGATGTCTTTCAATTAATTGGGAGCCCTAATAGTTACATTTTAAGTAAAGTTTTAAATCAATTAAACTACTCTTCTTCAAATAATCAAATTAAGTGATTAGTGAAATTAAGTAAAGTCCCCAAATTAAAATATTACTCTAAGATAAGCAAATTTTTGGATTGTTGCAGTTCTGCATTCCCATGCATCAAATTTACTTAAGGATCTTTGGCCGCTGCATCAGTCTTGAGCCATAAGCTCAGTGTTTTTAAGGGTGTTTTCACATACACATGCAAATGAACCAAACCCAGCTCAGTTACAGTGAACCAGCAAGGGAACTAGCTGCAAGTGAACTCAGTGTTTTTTTGTTCAAAATATAATTGGACTTAAACGTTCAGTAAACTATTTCTAAAAACGCTGTTGAAAGTGGATCGGACCGAGCACAACAACACACTTGTAGCCAAACAGCAGTAGGGGGCATGTCCACTCATGATGGGGGAGGAGAGAGAGTGAGCAAGAGGGAGATTTGAAGAAAGAGAGATGGCTGAGAGACATGACAAAAGAGAAAAGCTCAGAGGAATATCACTAGGCAAGAGCTTTAGCACCCGCGTTAATATTAGAAATGTTTTTAACACTGCAGAGACTGAAGCGGGAACGCCTGAAAACAGATGCAGAGGTTGCTTTGTTTCTGCTCCATACGCGAGTAATACGTGAGTTTTGAGTAGGGCTGGGTATCGATTCAGATGTTCAAATTCGATTCGATTTCGATTCACAAGCTCACAGTTCGATTCGATTTCGATTCTCGATTCGATTCTCGATTCGAATTTCAATTCCTGATTCGATTCTCGATTCGACTATAATGAATATAGATGTAATACAAATCTCAGTCTAAATATCAGTTATCATTTTTTAGACAATTTTTTATTACATTGATCTCACCTAAATGTTTGTTTTAACAATGGGTTTTTTTTTTGTTAAGAGTTTATGCAACACATGGAAGCTTGATTTCAATCTTTGAATTAAATTGAAAAAAGTAGCACAAATAAATAGAATAGGCCTAAAAAGACAAATAAAGAGACATAAAAAGAAAAGTTTTTGGGTAGGTCAGAAATACTACAGAAACTGAATAAAGTAATCCAATGTAAAATAACACTGGATAGTCTTTTAGTCCTGACTGAATTAAATACATAGGCTATTAATTCTGATTCCTTACAATTAATGCTTTATTATGTTGTTTTGACAACAAAATTAATGACAGACACATATGGCTGCGTTCACTTTAAGAACTAGTGCACGGATCCATAACCGTTTCATTATACTGTCTGTCACACGCGTTTTATGCTTATTTAAGACATAACCGACTGTCTTTACGAGGTTACTCACCAAGACCAGAGTTTTGACATCATTTTGCGTGTTTTTAACTGTTAAAGCGATATAATCCACGAAAAATAACTTTTGTTACTGGCGAGCTGTTTGTTGTGAGGCGGATTTAGGCTGCACGCAATGAAAAACATGCACGAGTGCGCGAGCACAGGATAGTTTAAAATTGCTTGAAAAAAGACGTGAAAGTGATAAACGTTAGTTACGATGCAATGCTGGCCCGATTGTGCAAGTGAATCGTGTCCCGACTCCTAAACACGAGTGTGTATCGACGCCTGCAGCGCTTGACGCTTGCCTTGTGCAGAGAGACACAAGACGCAGCACCGCGAGCCCTGAATATGGAAAAAATCGATTCGTGGCCATTGAGAATCGATTTTGAATCGACCACATTTAAAAAAACGATTAATCGAAAAATCGATTTTTTTGCCCAGCCCTAGTTTTGAGAATGTGCTGCTGGTGACTGACAAAGAACTCTTGCTTCTGTTGTGTACTGTATGTTCATGTTTTGCTCTTCGTTCTCGTTCGTTCATCATCGCTTTATTTTTTGTAAAGCTTTATTTTGCTTCGCTTCTGTTATGATAGAGACATTCACGCTTGCATTGCGTGTTTGTGCATTTTGGGGGCGGAGCAATGAAGGGAGGGGTGTGTTTGTTTGGGTTGATTTCAAATATCAACTGTGTTCAATGATGATTCTCAGAAATCGCTTACTGCACCTTAAAAATGGGACTAAATGGAACCACAAAAGGATCAAAAGGAAAAAGTACGGTTCTTTGTGGGTGCTTTTAGGGGGTCTGGGATCACATGAGGTGTTTGCAAATTCATATTATATCGGCCTGAGACCGCTTGAAGTGCTCAAACTAGTGGTGAAAACGCCCAGGGATAATACATCAAAAGTTCAAAGTACTTCAACTTTGTAAAATGCGTCTCAAAATCACAGCATTCCTCTGTAGTCTCGATGTTTCTGAACACAAATGCTTTCATTTTTGATAACTAATTGTACTACAATAATTAATTAAACTGACAGCCCAAGTAAATAAATCAATAATGCTAATAAATTCATCAGGATTTTTCATATCCCTATTTGCTCTCTCTCCTGTAATTGTCTGCCAGCATAGACAAATTCATAGCTTCTGGGATTTCATTCGATCTATCGGGAACATCACAATCGACTGATTGCTTGAGAAGCAAACCACATTTCCAAACACATCTTCTGAATCTGTTTAAACATGCTCCCAATCCTGAAGGCATCCATAAAGGGATCTTACTGGATTATAAGGGGGTTGGGATCTTCTCGGCTCTAGCGCTCACAGCCTCTCTGTTGCGGATAGGATGCGAGAGTGTGCATATGCGCGTGTATGGGAAGATTTGTCTGCGCTTCGGTCTCATGAATCACTCCGCGCACAGGCCTGTAGAGTGGGCGTCAGTGATCACAGTTCACGGTTACGTAAGTCCTCCCAGCGCCTGCTGGAGCTGCTGTCTGCTGTAGCAAACCATCTGCCACTCAGTCTCCTTCAATGGAGCCACTGCCGATGACTCTCCAGCACTCTGTCCTTTTAAAAGAAGAGTTCACCTAACTCTGTCATTATTTACTCACCCTCACGTCAGTCCAAAACCGCTCGCTGTAAAAATAAAATTGTCCAACCCAAGTATAAATTCGAAGCATCTTTAAGCTGCTCTTGCCACACAACGACAGCTCATAGAGATTACGTCATGCTCCAAAATAGTACCTTCACAGCGGTCCATACTAATTGTAGGCTATATTCCAAGTCCTCTGAAGCCAAACGATAGATTTGCATGAGGAAAAGATAGAAATTTAAAGGGATGGTTCACCCAAAAATGGAAATTCTGTCATTTACTTGCCCTCATGTCATTCCAAACTTCCCTATTGTCATTCAAAAGACTTTTGTTCATCTTTGAAAATAAAATAAAGATATTTTAAATTAAACTCTAGAGATTTCTGCCCCTCCATTAAAAGTCTTCTCACCCAAAACTTTGACAATTCAAAAAGTCAAAGAGATCATAAAGAAATTCATATGAATCAAGTGGTTTAATACAAGTCTTCACAAGAGACAAGATCACTTTATATGATGGAGCGACTTAATTTAGGCTTTTATTCAGATAATATTTTTTTATAAACGTCCATGAAATATGTTAAAAAGAAGCTCAACCATACTTGCCAGAAGAGACTTCATTGGTTCTTGTGCGTCAAGCAAGTGCAGTTGAGCTTCTGTTGATCATTTTTGATGTTCTCTATGTATGTGCATTGATCAATGTTTGTATGCGAATAAAAGCCTAAATTAAAACTGTTTGTCATATAAAGTGATCATGTACCTTCAAAAGACTTTGATTAAACAGCTTGATTCATATGGATTTATTTTACAATGTCTCTATGAACTTTTTGAAGTGTCAAAGTTGTAGTTGTTTAGACATTCAGTGGTTTAATTAAAAAAGAAACTAATTTGTAGTTTCGAAGATAAACGAAAATCTCATGGGTGTGGAACAACATTAGAGTAATTGACAGAATTTAAATTGAGTGAACACACCCTTTAAATCATTATGTATTAAGTCAAGACGTTAGCTTGTCAACAATATCATGTAATGTTATTTTTACCTCATAATAAAAAGAGCTGCGAACAGATTCTACTTTGTATTTCACAGAACACAAAATAGTAACATATGGGTTTGTGGTGTGAGGGCGAGGAAATATAGACAGTATTTTCATTTTTGGGTGAACTATCCCTTTAAACCCTGACTAAACGGCATCTGATAGAGCAAAAAATGTGAGTAAACAAAGAGGAGCTGGTTTTGTTTATACCTTGGCTTTCTTCATACGATTCATCACATTCCCAAGGTCCTCCATGTCAATGACGGAGCCATGAGACTTCTCTTCCTCAGCAGAGGACTCCGCATCACTGCTGGACTCCATCAGCTCCTCCTGAAAAAAAAAAAAAAAAAAAAATTTAACTTCTCTAAGAAGCATATATTGCTGTTGTTTTGTTTTTGCAAAAACAACAACCCTCAGGCAAAATCCTGCAGGCACCCCTGAAGTGAACCAGATCATTTTAAAAGTCAACATTTAATGCCAACAATTTGGTCGGGATTTTATCCGTCAGGATTTGGTTGGATCAAAAGTGGGATGTAATATTATTTGTTAAAACTTAAAGTCACTACTACAATACTAGGTTCTGGGTGTTGGTGTGATGTCAATAGAGCCCTCTATGATTGTGTTTACACCTGGTATTAAGATGTGTTTTAATACCAGGGTCTACAACGTTTTGAGCTTGTCCACTTTCAACCACTTCCAGAGGTAGTCGAAAACGCATTCGACCGGATTGCTTTCGTAGTGTAAACGCTCATGTGGTCGAATGTGTTCAAACAGCCACAAAAGATCATCTATTCTCCGTCTACTGACTTAATGCGTAAACATTACCCTAACCCTTATTTTGTCTATTAGATTAAAAAAGATCAACAAAAAAAAAAAACATCCATTTACATGACCATAGACCCTCCACTTGAAGAAATCAGGACAAAAGAGACACCAGGTGTAAAAGGATATGCGTCTCCCTCGTCTACTTGTGATCCGATCGACCAAAACGCATCTTAATACCAGGTGCAAACAGGGCCTATTATATTCTGGTCTCTAGATATGGCTCAACTCCCACCTTCTATAGATGTCCTACTTTTAGAAATGTGGTTCTGGTCCAGATGAATGTAGCTAATGATGGCATAGAGATGCTGAGTTGAATTATTCTGAATGTTAAAATATATTTTTCTAATCTTGTATGACTCGTAGCTATGTCTAAAATAAAACATTAACAAATGCTTTGCTTGAATTGATAGCTCTGAATTGTATTAGTTCGAATTTCTGATGATTGCATAAAGCTGAATTAAATAACTGATTAATAAAGTGCATTTTAATAGACTTGTAAACAAACAGGGATGCACTGTTTATTTGCAGACAAATTAGGTAGTAACAGTCAGTTACTTCATTGTTTGGCTCTCTAATCAGTGGACAATTTCAGTGGGAAAGGGGAAAAATGGGAATTAAAGGAGCTTAACTTTATGAGAACGAAGTTTCCAAAAGGTAAAATATATGAGTGGGACATCTAAAAGAATAAAAAATCCCCTCAGAAGTCTGTAATGTCACCCCTGCTGTTCAGATCCCATTTACAAGAGTGCACCACAGACTGCAGGGGAACAATCTGCTCTCTGGGTGTGCAGCGCGAGAGCAGTTACCATGACTACATGTGTTCAAAGACATCAGAGAGGAGGGCTGGCTTGCCTCAGAGTTGTTCTTCTCAGCGAGCGAGCGACTGTCCTCTGCCTCCTCCTTATGTTTCTTCTTATTCTTGCAGCTGCTCTTCTTGCACTTGCCAGAGCAGGCTTTCTTCTCCCCTTTGGCCAGGGCCTGCAGCCGGCTCAGGAGCTTCGTTTTCCAGGCCTGAAAGTCGGCCTGCACGCTGCCATGTCGGCTCTTCACCACGTTGCAGTCGCCTTCTCCTCTGGTCATGATCCGTGCGCCACTCAGCATCCACAACCACTTATCTATGCTCTTACTGACCTGAAAACAGAAAATATATTTAGTGCAAGATTCATGCAACACAATCCAATCAAAAACAGATGCTAAAATGCAGGCGTGTCTCACAGTGTTGTAATGGCCCACATAAACGGAGTTCCCCAGCCCAAAGACAGCATATCTCATTCCCTTCAGGTATGTTTTCCCATATCGGAAGTCAGTGGACGCTTCCTCAAGCCATTTGCAGAACCATTCGGCGCTCTCTGTGGGCTGTCCGTCAGTGTATGTGGCCACCAGGAACACACAGATCATCTTGCTTGTACACTAGAGAAGAATGATATGGGAGCATGAAGACATTTTTGAGATGGACAAGAGTGATTACCAAGTACTAAATGGGTGAACTGGGTATTATTTCCCTATTATTTCCCTAAAATCAAAAGAAAAACATTTATATTACAATCACTATAACTATATTTTATATTTTTTATAAATATCATTTCTAAAGGACCTTTTGACACAAATTTTCATTTTTTTTGTGTGTGAAAAATGTATAATACAATAATTAAAATTCTCTGCCTGGACAACAATTATTATTTTATTTTTTTAATAAATGAAATTCAGTACAACAGATACTGCCATGATGTGTACTTTTTAATGGCACATTAAGAACGTTTTTCTCCCATGGCATTACAGTAGACTACATACAATTGTTATAAAATTTTATCATAATGGTATTACAGTAGGCTTAGTTTAATTTATCCAAAATACTTCTTTTTTATTATTATTTTAATTTTTATTTTGGGTAAAATATGATCTGGACTTTTCTTGACCGTTTTTGAGATTTACCTAATGTTACCTAAACATCATGAATAAACCATGATACATCACTTATAATGCTATATAACTGCTGGAAGGACGACAACTGGGGTCTTTCAGACTATGAGCTGTCCTGTGATGGATGGATTCAGCTCAACTTTGCACTGATTCAGACTGTGAGAATGGACACATTTAAATTCAATCAAAAAAAACTTTTCAGAAGCAGTTGTGTGCAGTTATCTGGCAGTACTGAAGTCATTCAGGGACACTTAAATTAAATTATGATAATTTGCTCTTTAAACTCTTGAGGTTTAATTATTTAGGGTCTAGTGAGATAAAACGCTGGTCAATCTTTTTACATTCCGCTCAGGGAGAAGTATTGTGATTAACTGCCTTAATATCAATATTTCCTTTAAATGTAAGTGTGGTAAGTGGTAATTAAAAGATATGAAGCTCCCAGTAATTCCTATTATATTCTTCATTCCTAAAGATATATTCTTATCATAAAGTCATGACAAATCCTCAAGTTTAAATAATCCATTTCCACTTCCTCAAAATTGAAAATGATCCACCTGTCTGAAATGCAGTATGGGACCAGTCCAGCACATTTTGGACAGTGAAATAACACTGAAAACAAGCTATGCTCACCTCCTCAGCCAGTCTGTCATCTGGGTCATACTCTTTCATATCTATAACCTCACACTGGATCCCCTGAGTGCTGACGTCTTCAGCAAGCTCTTTTGCAAACCCCTAAGCAAAGTTAAGAATAGTAAACCACACATTGGCATGTAATTCTTTGAATTAGGCCATTTCGCGAAAATAATAATAACAATTGTATGTATACTGTATATACCTTTGCTGTTCCTGTCTGTGATCCATAGAAGACTTTGACCCCAGAAACATGAATGACCTTTTCTGTTACAGGTGAAAGTTCCTGTTTTTTTGCAGACTTATATGGCCATGGATTTACAGGGTTGACCGTTTTTGACTATAAAAGAAAAAGACAATGTTATGTTGTGCGTTCATTATAAACTACAAGGCAAAACATAACAAATACTTTAAGTAGCAGAGAATCTTTAAGTGTAAACACACTTAATTACCTTTTTGAAAAGCATGTTGACAATAAACCAGACTCCTATGAGAACAGCAGCAGTAGTGTACACATAAAACCTGTTCTGCCACACAGACAGCAGGTAACTCTCAGTGAAATCCCAAACATCATTCAAAGCACCTGTGAATGCAAGAAAATACAATTTCTGCAAAATAATATCACTTAACCTGTCGGGAATGATGCAAGCACAAAATAAGCAACATTAGTTGTTGAGGAGATAGACAATCGTTATGGAACGGCTGTGTCTCAAAACCTAGTACGCTGCCTACCTAAACAGCATTGTTTACTTATAGCCGCGTTAAAATACGCCGAAGGAAGGTAGGGAGCTCACTAGGTTTTGACACACAGCCTAACCGTGCAAAAATAAGTGCATGAGCATACTACATAGAGCATGGCTCTACTGCTATATATGATTAGCAGTTTAATTTAACTCATATTATATGGGTTATTATTAGCCATGCGTTTCAAAATAAACCTAACGTTACCTTGCAAATCAGCTCCGACTGTAGAATACACCAAACTCGAAAACACCGCTAAAAACAACATTTTCTGTTGTCTATCGAACAAGACAGTACTGTTTATAAATATATAACATCAGCCAGCCAAATATCTAACTTAATTTGTCGCATATAAATATCTGGCTCACTTTACGGCTGCACGTCGAAGGGCGCCGCCATATTGTTATGACAAGAATGCTGGGAAAATGAGGTCATCTCAGGTCATTTAACTCCGCAAGTGAGGATTCACTTTGAAGTTTGATTTTTTTAATCATAATAATACGTATATAATTTATTTGAATCATGTAATAAAAAGTTTATTATTATTATTATTACTACTACTACTCCTACAACAATTGTTGTTGTTGTTGTTGTTATCATCCACGTGAGTCTTCATTGGTTGAATCAATAATAATATGCATTTAATTTGTTTATATCATATAAATAAATTGATAAATTAATAAATAAATAAAGCACTATTGTTATTGTGTTGTTGTAATTAACATTATTAATATTATTGAAATAAGTTAATGTGTTGGTCTTCATTAATTAAATATAGTTTACATAAAACAAATAACACTCTTCATTCTTATAGTTTATTCAAGTCTGGAAATTTCACTTAAATATACAAACAACTTTATTATAGATTGTTCAACATCCAACATCCGTTCAAAACAAAATGCAGTATGCATGTTCTCTGGAAGATAATAAAAAAAATTAAGACTTTTTTTGATTTTCTTACACAAAGATTTTTCTGTAGGTCCATTATTGACTTACATTTTAAGTCTTATTTTTCAGCTTATTTTGCAAAAATATATTTTTTTTTTACACGAAAGCTTTTAAAAAATCACAGACTCTTGGTATTTTGCTGGGTTTGGCGTTTGTGACGAACAACTGCAAGTGTTGTGAAAAAATTTCCCGCAAACAGAACCAGAAAGCAGAAGCCACACATGGAAGCCTACAGTGAAAAAGGATAAAGGTTTTAGATATAAGATGATTGCAACTTCAAAATCACACTTTCAACAGATTTATTCATAAGTATAGTGAATCTGACATATTTTTTCACTTCAGTGTCATGATGTTGTGGAAAGATCTATAAAAATAACATGCACTGACCTGCCATTCTTTACATTCAGGGAGCTGAACCATTCTGAACAGTGAAATACTGTTCCAAAGCTGCCAGAACTGCATGAGACATAGACAACATTCAGTGTTCACCAAGATATACACCAAAAATTACTGTTCATATAATGGCATTTCATATGTGGTTCCATTTTCAAAGATTTATTCTTTAAAATCTGACTATTATGATATATTTATATTCTGAAATATTAAAAACAAATACTTACATGACCCAGGAAGAGAAAGGGGAGAAGAAATGTTAGTCCCCGCCACATCCACGACTGAAATCCCTCTGTTTAAACAAAAATAATGTTTATAGCTTTAAAGTGGCATAAAGCTTTTCACTTTCTTCAAGTCAGAAATCCTTACCAACAGTCAAATCCAAGTTGTGTCGTTCCCCTAGTGCTTTTAGCCTGTAGAGACACCCACTTTGATAGTAGTACTGAAGACACTGCACAAAGCCTAAAAGAGAAAGTGATACGTTTGCCTTCAAAATCTCTCAATATTACAGTGTTGGTATTTTTCTTGCAACAGATGTTTTACAGGGAGGTGTTAGCATGTAGGGCTTGTAACTTACTTTGATACAAACAATAGGCCAGAAATTGGTTCCTGAAAGACTGGTATGTTTCACCATCTGGCCTATACAACAGAATTGTTGTTTGAGGGCAAATACCAGCAATTTACTGATTCATAAATCATCATTCATTGTTTTGGTGCTGATGCATTTAATATCAACATAAGATTGTGCCTATTCCTTAATTCCTTGTGAAAGATAGTAGTGTTATTTAAATTAGCTTTTTAGTTTTCATTTTATTTTCAGTTTGTGGTTCAGTAATTTTGTGCTTTTGTCATTTTTTTTAAACAACCAGATTTTTTTTTACCATTTCAACTTAATATTATTATTATTTTCAGTTAGTTGCTATAAGGCAAAATTCTTAAATAATAATGTTGTTTTTAATGTTGTTTTAACACTTTACAGCATTATAAAAGTATTTTTAATGTATTAATAATACTTTTAATGCACCTTTTAATGCATTGTATTGAGTAACCTCAATCATAATACATTATAATACTTATGTTACGTCTTTAAAATGTATTATGCATTAAAACATGAAAAAACAACCAATTGCATGTAACAAGGAAACTTTGGTCACAATTATTTATGAAAATATATCAATTGTGCTGGCAAATCGATTAATCACGATGAATTGCATCGAACATAAAAGTGTGTGTGTATACACACATACAGTATATATTTCCAAACTTTTATGTTATAGCGATTAATCGCGATTAATCGATTTGACAGCACTAGATATCATTCATTATAACTTACATTATGAATAAATTATAATGCATTATACATAAAGGATTTGGTCTGAAATGAATAGTCTGAAATGACTCACCAGGTTAGCATGACCCCAGACAGAAAGGTGGAAATGTAGTGGTGGAAAACCCACCAGCCTTTAATCCTATATAAATCAAAGCATATACATGGTTTTAGAGACGGCACAAGCCAGAGTAGGTCCTTGCGAGAGCTTATTAAATCCACCATTGATCAAACGTTTCGCGGGTGAACGCATCAATGTCACATCTTCAAACCTGAAAAGTCTCTTAAAGTTTCATCTGACAGTTTCTGACCTGGATCCATTGCTGATGAGGACGCTTTCACGGATTGTCAGGGTGCAATAGTACCAAACCAACAGGAAGTTAAGAAGGGCATCGAAAACTCTACAGAAACACAGCAAAAGCAAGCATGAAATGTGAAGTGAGGGAAGGCTTGTCAGACAGACCCGTGTGAACTCAGTCTTACCTGTAGCTGATGAAGAAGCGACATATGAAGGTCAGCAGGAACAGAATCACGGTCACATACAGCTTGAACCTTTCATACTCATCTTTGTATTCAGCTCTAAATTACAAAGTGTACAGGCATATGATAAAATAAGTATAAAATATAAGCTGAAAGTCGATAAACTGAGAAGCAAAATTGTGTGCATTTTTGTTGCACTGTAAAAAAAATATTTTCATAATTTGTTATCACAATAATGTTTTCTTTTGTCAAATGAACTTAGATGATTTATGTGGTTCAGATATATATAATATAATAATATTTTGAGTTTCTGTTGATTAAACCAATCTCCTTAATTGCATTAACTAAAATGTAAGGCAATAAGTATACAGTGCATCTTCTAAAGTACTTGTTTTCAAATTTAAATAATTAGAAATGTATTGTATATTAATTATTCAAATAACTATAAATAAGTTTTAACATGTAGGCCTATACATTTATTTTTTTAAATTGGTAACACAAAAATTATTTTGTCAATGGTACAAGCTTAATTCTAGATATCTCAAAACAAGCCTCAAAATATTATGAAAAATAAACGTATATCTTGTTTGAAATATTTTCATTTTTTGTAGTGTTCATAAAGCTATTGATATACATTTTATGTATATTTCAGTAGATGTTTTTTTGGTGCTTACTTTGCCTCTTTGCTTGGAAGGTTGACATTCACACTCCCAAGGACAAGGCTGAGATAAAGCCTTGAAAAGACAAGCAAAAATAACATTCAACTTGTAACTACAAAGCTAACCTTCCGAAACAGACTCATTTAATAATCTTCCAGTACCCATTTTTCTTTGGAATAAATTCTTCCATTTGAAAGATTAGGCTTGGCATATTTTGAATGTGACCTTTGACCTCCTTCACCTCATTCTTCTCCTCTTCAGTCAGTCCTTTATCAAATCTATAATTCAGAGTAGGAAATGTATATTAAATTGCTACAATCATAGTCAGCATAACAGATCATAAAGAAAAAAAGACCAAATAAAAACACATTTTATTTACTTAGTCAAAGATTTTAAATTGTCCTTTAAATTCTTTTTCTGGCGAGATATGGAGGCAGCAAAGCTTTTTTGAAGTTTGGAGACTTCCTCTAACTTCTGCAGGTAAAGCCGATGGGTCTCCTGGACACAGAAATGTTTTATTTCAACAGAAAAGTTCAGTTGTTTTGTAAGGTCTTTAGCAAGGATAATATCGTACCTGAAGCTGCTGTAATTCTTTCTCCTGAACCTTCCATTCTTGAAGGGCTGTTGCGAGTGATGTCGACATGTAAAACTTTCTCAGTACAACTACTCAGTTAAACAAACCAGATTTCTCTTTCTTGGATAACTAAATGCAGTAAAACAAACTGTGATGGAAACACAGCAATGTATTCAATGCAGATTTCTATATGTCGTATTTAAAGAGAGCTTCAGTTTAGAAGCATTTCAATAGACAATCTTCGTCGTATCTCTTATTTCTTAGCGATTGCAATATAGGCTTGAACTTTGTAGTGAACTTTGACAGACCAACTTGACTGACCTATGACACACTTGGTTGCCTGCACTTTATAGGAAGGGCTACATGTTCAGGGTTTCAACACTGTGAATTCTGACATATGAAATAATGTGAAATTGTATTTAGCTATTACAGAAACTTCATTGCACATATAAAAACATTATTACACTCGAGAATGCATAGAGTCTAGTTATTTATGCTCTAAAGTCTCATGCCTTAGTTGCATAATCCAATAATCCCTCATAAATTCCATTGATGTAGAAAGTAAGAGAACAGCTGAAACAATGAAAACTTGAACTTTAATCGAGAGATAACATCTTTAAATACCTTACAGCAGCATTCAGGTCAAATATTGGCCTATTTTTGTTTCAATATCTTAAACTACTGCCTGGTCATGTATTATAGGAACTTTCAATGAATACGGTACACTTTGGTGTCTCATTATTTATTTTTGTTTTTAAAGCATTATAGACATAAATTCCCCCTTTATTGTGTGAGTCCTGTATGTTAGATGAACTATTAGGCTGTGTGTGTGTGTGTGTGTGTGTGTGTTTGTGTGTGTGTGTGTGTGTGTGTGTGTGTGTGTGTGTGTGTGTGTGTGTGTGTGTGTGTGTGTGTGTGTGTGTGTGTGTGTGTGTGTGTGTGTGTGTGTGTGTGTGTGTGTGTGTGTGTGTGCGTGTGCGTGTGCGTGTGCGTGTGCGTGTGTGTGTGTGTGTGTAGATATAGCTAAACTATATATATATAAGTTTTTACTGTTTTTACATTTACATCTATTTTATTACATGTATTTAATTTTGATGTTTTTTTAGATTTGTTACAAGAAATAGCAAAATCACGCAAATTAGTTTTTATTTAGACATTAATTAAAGTTATAAAATTGTATTTGACTTCCTGATCAACACTGGATCTTAATCACATTCTTTCGCTTTTAACGTTTTTAATAAAGCAAACTTATTTGTTTGTTTAACGTCTTTTCAGTTGAATGCATCTGATCCGAAAAACTTAATTTGTCCATTAGCATCCTCTTGCGTTCACCCGCGTCATCAGATGCTCGTAGTGCGCATGCGCGTTCATGCGACTGTAGTATTATTATTGACCCAAGCAATATTTAAACTGCGCAGGGGGATGGCCTGTCAAGAAACATTGGACTGTAATACCATGGGTGGGTTTACAATGAAATGCATGATGGTCCAACTAAAGCAGGATCTAATCTGACTGATACTATATGTTCAGCCTCAGAGCTTCTCTTGGCTTTCTTCTGATCGGTGATAGAGTGTGGCAGCGGCGGCTGGCCAGAGGTGCTGGATGATATCGACCGGTGTGTGTGGTGACTCCAGAAGAGAGACTGTCGCGTTTTACGTCACTTCTTAATGAATTTGTAGTCATATAAGGTGCTTTACTGGTCTGACTTGCTTGTCCGATTGACAAAGGTAAAAATGAGCGCCGCGGTTTATGTTTTGTCCACGGTTACCGCCGGGTATGTGCTAACATCGGCGTTACTGCTGAAGTGTCCATCACTGCTGCACCGGCGAAAGAGAGAAGCCTTCCGAAGCAGACACATCTCACACCGCGGCGGTGAGTGGACAAACGATGCTTTTATAAGTTATAAATGTCAAATATAGGCTACAGCTTTCTTTGTAAGTTAACACGTTAGTCCAATCAAGTCAAAACCCAGGGATCAGTGATATCCAAAATGCTGACTATGTAGGAAGCTTAATAGCTTTTGAGACAGTCAATGACTGAACCTTAACATTCATAAGATTGCTGACTGTAAAAGTCACACACTTCAAAAAAAAAAAAAATTATATAACTTATATATAAGGAAAAGGCTATTTATTAGACACATTCTCAAATTAGAATTCTAAAACAACACCCATTCGTTGAGAAAATAAATTGACAATAGCCTATATAGGCCTACATACATAAAAATATAAGAAACATCCAGCTCCGTGAAAGCGAAAGTACAAACTTCCATAGCACATTAGGATATTCTAACTACCGTAAGTTCTCGATCTGTGAAATCCAAACATCGTAATGTTTGTGATTGCGACCCAGGGGTCCAAATAATTTACAAATGGCTCCCATATTTGAGTTCCCATATAAAAGAGTGGATTACACATGTGTTACACTCTTAGAGTGGATTACACGTAAGGTATTCCAGTGGTATCAGTTCCATTATCAATGATCCACTGCAAAAGAAAAATGTTCCATGCTGCCAAAATTGAAAAGTCTTCTGTTAGCCACAGAAGTTAAATTATCGCTTGGTATGCCCATGTAACCGGTCCTACTCGACCCGCTCCGAGTGGGATTCAAACTGGAGTCTCCGGTGGGCGCGCTAACAAGGATGTTAGACCACAGCCACTAGTGTCATCCACTGGCACACCTCTTGAGGCAAGGGGATTTAGGTTTACACACACAGCCCTTACTGGCCTACGTCTGTTACACCCAGTAGGTGAACATGATTTCACAAAGTACATCTTTGTTTATCCTGGAACAACATTCCAATCAACCAATAACTAAGATCTGAAGGACAAATTTACGGTTTGTCAAGTTTGGGCTTACAACCCGGGTTAAGTATTTCTACATCAGTGTTATTCACCAACCATCTCACTCTGATTTTAGGGATAACATATGGGAAGGGGTTGGTTAGGGGTAGGGATATGGTGAGGACTAAATTATCAGACAGGAATGTTGTTACAGGAACAAGTTTCAAGGGTTCCAGTTCCAGGTTTATACTTAGAAACTTTTACATTTCACAAAGTATGTTATTCCAATAATTTTGCATTTAAGACAAAAAGGGGAAAAGGAATTGTTAAAAGCATGTGTGTGATTTGGTTATATAGTCTATGTAATCTGTGTTATATCTTCAGCTGAATTGCTTTCAAATGATTACAGACTCATATTGTTTTATAATTTTCCCATACTTTGTCTCAAATATTCTCATCAATTGGAACTTCAACTCGCCCTCCCATAATTTCCTAATCCTCTGTGCCAGTTCGATCACATAAAGATTTATAAAAAAATATTTTTTCCCGGATGTTTGAAAAAGTAATTTCTCAACTGGAGATATTTCAAAATGATCATTTAATGATGTACTTCTTTGACTAAAATGCCTAATTTGCAAAAAATCAGAACAATTCTGACTTTAGAAGTTTATATTTATCCATAATTGGTTGAAATTACATTAGGTTACCATCAACAAACAAGTCTTAGAGCCTTACCACACCCCTTGCCACACCAGGAACTGAAATTCACATAATTCCTGGTTGAAAATCTGGATTATGTAAAATTAGGGATATAAAACAAATTTCATAATACCTTCATGTTGGTTTAGAGGGTTCATCATTGACTTGTCTTTATTGACTAGGCACTGGAGTGTGGACTGTGAAGAGGAATACCGTAGAAACTATAGATATAGTCTGAATATAAACATTACCTAAAGTAATTATTTTACTACCAAAATCAATATTGTGAGCAAACAAAGCACTGCTACTACAAAATAGCTACATTTTGTCCTGATACTTATTGTTTTGTTTATCTTCAGGGGCCGGTGAGAACTTGGAGAACACAATGGCAGCCTTCAAGCAGTGAGTTTATCAATGGGCTGCTGTTTATGGCTTGGATTTGCATTGATGAGTGTGACTGTACTAAAACATAGCATGTTCAGTTAATATATAAGTATACTTGATGTTGTAGAATTCAGAAGTAATCTGGAGTGTTTTTTCCTCTTTTCTGTATTCTCATTTCATCCTTCCTCTAAGTGGCATCATCAGTTGATGAATAAATTGTACAAAAATATTCTATGATGTTCTGGATGAAAATCTTCGTTAATTTATGGACAAATGCATCCTTAACTCATCTGTTGTATGTTTTCTACTTCCTCAGCGCTGTAAAACTTGGCACTGACATGTTGGAGCTGGACTGTCATTTGACCAAGGATGAGCAGGTGGTGGTATTGCATGATTCCAACCTCAAGAGGTCGACTGGCATTAACTCATACATCGCTGATGTGGCTTATGCTGTGAGTGGAGAAACTTCAAACATTCACATTCGCAGTCCAAATTTTTTCAAGCCTTGACTAATTTGTAGCAGACATAAAACTCTTATGTCAATAAATAAATGCTGTAATATAAAAGTTTTTGTGTGTGTTTGTCTTCTTAGGAACTTCCACCTTACCTTTGTAAGCTTGGGGTGACTTTCAAACGAGGTGAGTGTTCAGTCCAGGTAATGTTCAACCAATTTGATTTAAGGTATAATCAAGCAGATTCCCAATGTGCCTGAAGTGTTACATATATGTAGCCTGTAGTGGAAACATCATTGAAAATCTAATTGAATCCTGGAAACGTTTTAGAATATGAAAAAAATAGGATTAAAAAACTTAAAATAAGTTTGCTTTTTGTTTCTTCACTATTTCTGTCACTAATCAAATGTGAACAAATTTGTAACTGATAATGTGAGCTCCTTTGTATCCGTTTGTTAAGTTTGACGTCATGCGTCACCGCTTCTGGGTCCAAACGCTCTACCAGATGCACCAAGAAAACAACAAATGGTGCTAATATACACTCATGATGTGATGTAATACTACCAAAAAATTATAATCCTAACCTTTATCTCCGTATCGAAATCCCAGATGGTCAGACAGTGATTCATCTTTTATAAATCCTTAAAATACTCCAGTTTGGGACGCAGTGAGCACGGAGACTGTAGTGTACACCATACGTTTTTAAATGCTTAGCTTAAATGTTTCATATGAATAAATAATGCTCATAAACAGCCGTTGAGATAGTATTCTCAAGTGGAACGAGTCGAGGCTTGGACCCGGAAACAGCCTTCGTTACCTCATGATTTAACAAGGTCCGATTGAAGCATGTGCCTCCATTAAAGCACAAGCTATTTGGGTCATTCTTAAAATCACACAGGATAACATGATTATACGATTTTTTTACAATCCTTTGGAATTTATGCAGTTTGAATGCAATTAAAGCAAAAAAGAGATGTGGAAACTAAAAAATATAAACAAATACTTTATACATATTTAAAACAAGCCACTGTTTACTTGATTCAAATATGTTTAGTATACATTCATTTCAGAGTGCTACTGTGAAGGAGGAGATGACAAACGCATCCCTCTGCTGAGAGACGTGTTTGAAGCTTTCCCAAACACCCCTGTAAACATCGACATCAAGGTCAACAATGACACCCTCATCAAGAAGGTGTGATGACCCTGCCAGTCCTGCTCATATTTCATTTCCTTGAATCCTCTGTCTGTGCGGCTGTTTGTCACCACTAAAATTAATCAGGTTAGTGAGACAAGTTTGTCAGAAGCAAAATAGAGTTCTTCCTTTTTTTTTCGTCAGGTGTCCGAGATGGTCACCCGATACAACAGGGAGCATTTGACCGTCTGGGGAAACTCCAGCAATGAAATCGTTAGGAAATGTTACGAAGAGGTGAAACATTGTTTTTTAGCAAACAACATTGTTTTACTCTGACAGTAAATTATTCGAACTCGAAGTATGCAAAATGTCAATGTCTGATGTTTTCCCGCTTGTTTTGTAGAATCCGCAAATCCCAGTCTTGTTCAGTTTGTCCAGAGTGCTGCTGTTGGTGGGTCTTTTCTACACAGGCCTCCTGCCCTTCGTCCCGCTCAAGGAACAATTCCTGGAGATTCCAATGCCTTCCATTGTTTCCAAGTAAGGAACATTTGCATTTTAGTCATACTTGCTCCAATCATTCATTCTTTTTCTTCCAGGATTTAAAAAAGTCAAGATTTGAGCCTTTAGTAGATTCAGGCTCTTTTAATTTCATGCAGTGGATGAACTTTGGATGCTCATAACTAGTGCTTTGCTAGACATTTTCTCTAAAGATTTTATTGGAAATTTGAAAAGTGATAAATATTTTGTCTCTTGTAGACTCAAAGATCCTGAGCGTCAAACACGGAGTCAGCGTTTTATAACGTGGTTGGCAGACACGTGAGTTTATGCACACTCTGGCCTCAATAAACCTTTTACCTAAAAATTTCCTTAACACGGTTTATGTGTTTCTTGAAAGTAGAAAACTGCCTGGGGGGTATTACAGAAAGCAGGTTATGTGACTTACCTGGGTGTATTTACTGTAGTTGATAATCTCAACTTTTGGTTCCAAAACCTTTGGTAACTTTCAGGGTATGTAAGTAGAACATACACATGTGTAACAGTATAATTGATCTGTGCGTCAGGTCTTAAAGTGACAGCAGCCTAATTTACCTGCTACAAAATTATGAGAAAATATTAAAAATATCTATATGGCTGTTTTTCCCCATGGTAGCAACGTCAAAATTGTGGCCAGTGAAAATTCTGAGCTAGTAACTTTGGAAATCTACTAGCCACAGTGGCTGGTGAGCAAAAAAGTTAATGTCAAGCATTATAATTAATGCTTGAATTTTTTATAAGATTAAAAAAATACTAAGTGTAAATCGCCATTAAACAAAATAAAAAAATAAGTATGGCCTGCTTCTTCTATAGCGTCCGTTTTTTTTAATGGTGACTCCTGTCTTTGTCACCGTTAACTCATACTAAGTTTCATACTCCGGGTTGTCTGAACTTTCCTCATACCGCGGTTTTGGAACCTGAATACCTCGCGTAAGCAAGCTTTGGGTTAATCAACCGGGAATTCAGGGTACATGTGATCTTGCTTTCTGGAATACACCCCTGCTTTAGGGTTTTTTCCCATGCTGGCCTCAGTGATAATAGTAATTACAAGCATCTAATATTCATACTTATTTAAAGGTTGTTAATATGGTGGAATGATAATATGGATTTATTTTCAGACTCCTCATGAGAAAAGCTCTATTCGATCATCTGACGGGCAGAGGAATACAGGTGAGTGAGTACTAATCTTTAAATGAGATTTAGGTCATACAGCACATGTGCTTTATGGGTAAACATTGTTTTGAGTGCTATGATGTGCATGAGCAGATGGCAGGAGCTTTGAATGGAATTTCACTCTTGTCTGGAATGTCATCATGGGACTTTTCCACTGGTCTTTGCTTTTTCCTTTCCAACTACAGGTGTATATCTGGGTGTTGAACGACGAGGAGGACTTTAAACGTGCCTTTGACCTTGGAGCTACAGGGATTATGACAGACTATCCCACCAAGCTAAAGGAGTTCATGGAGAAAAACAACTACGCTTCCACCCTTAAATAAGACTCGAGGCCAAAGTAAACAATCAATATGCTTTTCCGCTGACCTTTGGCCTCTGAATGGGCCTTTTAATTACCCAGCAGTCTTTGATGTTTATGTCCGTGAGTGTAGAAGTGGCAGCTATCAGTTCTGCATTAATCTGCAATCAGCAATTCAACATCAGAGCCGCTTTAAAGCGAACTGGATGTCATGAAATCATTCTGTAGCTTTAACTTCATAGCAATACACATTTTCCATAAAAAGCCGGAGGATTTATAAGAGACTATGCTGAATTATCAATTATATTAGGGTGATGTCATGATCGTCATGATATTTCTGTGAAATTTACCCTACGGGCACTTTCAGTGTATGATTGACTGGCAGTTGATTGTTTCATCACAGTGTGAGGATGTAAATCCTACTGGTACTTGCTGTGCATCAGTTTCTGCAATAACACTGAACTCACTAAAGCGTTAATTGTCTAAATGACAATACCGAAGCTACTGAAGTTTTTCCAAGGCACCGCAAATAAACACTAGTTTTAATGTGTATTATGGGATTGTTGAGAGACTAGTAATCAGAGGGCACTGGAGATTTTAAGGTTTACTTCAGTACTATGCGGTTTAATTGTGGTTTGATTGACGTGTGTATATTTTGTGTTTGTAAATTTGTTTTTGACAATAAGAGATTGTCAGTTTCAAGATTTGTGGCTTAAAAGATGCCTCAGTATTTCTTGAAGTGTTAAGTGTTTAGTTTAATATATGACCAGTCAGAAGTTTTGACCACAATTCGATCTTCATTATTACTATTTCAGCATGTTACAATATTAAAGTAACCAAACCTCATATTTAAGCTGCTTCAAACCCTGATTTTTCTTTAAACTCAAACTAATTTATATAATAATAATTAACTAAATAATATAAGTTAAGTTATAAAAAAGTCATGCATAGGGGAACTTTATATTTGTCTTTTAAATAAATTTAAAGTATTCCAGCAATAGCCTTTAGGTCAAAAGGTTTTGTGATCATGAGAAACAAAGTCAGTCAGGTGTGTCCAAGCTTTTGACTGGTTGTGTATGATTTATGCTGATAAAAGAGGTTTTGTTGGAGTGTAACTGGGTCACAGACAAGGGTTGTGTGTGGTCATGTGACTTGAATGTACTTTTGCTTGGTCAGGAAAATATTTTAACTTTAAAATGTTGGTGGTTTTAACGGTGCATTGAAAAGAGAAAAAGAAACATCTTATCTCACTCTTTTAAGGATTAATGAAATACAGGATGCATTCAAAATTGACATGACAGTAACTCACTCCTGAATGATGGAGTTCAAATGTTTTTTTTCCCCCCTTTTGTAAAGTATACGGATATAGTAACTCTTAGCCTTGTGCTGTGTTTAATTTTGTAGTTCATATTTTATCCAAGCCACTTTCATTTGTTGTGTATGAACTCAATGTACTGTTAAATTTCAAGTGATAGCTACGAAGATGAATTCAAAGATTAGTTATAGAGCCTATTTGGTTTCAGTTGCACTTGGATATAAAAAATAATTTATAAATGAATTTAAACAATTATATTTTGCCTTTGTGTTATTAATTTTATTAATTATGAGTGTACAACAACCCTTGACGCATTAAGTGCCTGTAACTTAAAACACACACACACACACACACACACACATTTTGACCAGAAGAGGGTGCTATATGGTAACTTAAACTTGCTCTGACGAACCAATGCAAAATACTACGAGTAACAAATATAAATTTACAATAACATAAAAACGTCTACAACCGTACATTTAACTACTTTTAACTTTCTTTGATTATAGCTTTGCTATACTCTAATGAGTTCAGTGCACTTCAATATGTTTTTTTTTATTACAAAGTTTTAAATAAACAAAATACTTTGTTAATTTCATCACAGAATGAATACAGTGAAGTATATTGTACCCTTTACTTCCACATAAAACATGTAACTACTGGCCGTGGTCGATGAACATTTTTTGATTTTCGACATAAGTTCTCTAAACTCAGTTACAGTTGCAGGTAGATACCAGCCCAATTTATGATTGGCTGTTTTTTCACGTTCTAACCAATCAGCGTAATGTTGCTATGCCTCTGCGTCTCAGTGATTGGTGGAAAGAGTTGTCATTTGCCCTGTAGGTGATGTACAGTGCGATCGTGCCCATACAAAACTTAGTTTACATGCACCACGTCCACACTGACCGCGAGCGAAGCGGGAGAAGGAATTTGTCGTGACAGGAAAGCATACGCAAAGTTTGCTGTGAATCCCGATTTACCTAAACGGAAGAGGAGCGCGTGCCACCATATCACATCCCCGTTTTCTTCTTTTCAAAGGTAAATGCGAATTGTTTTAACACGTAGTCTAAATGTAAGTGTGATAATAGTCATCTGCTTTATGTAAATCATGTCAACTGATAGTGTGTGTAAGAGCATCAGGTCAGGATGACGGTGTTGTGTTCTAGTTCTGCTGGAGATGGTGTGATGTGATGCGCTGCAGGTCCGCAGTGGTGATGCTGCTACTGATGCTTGTTTATCAAACACCTCCACTATCACATCCAGCATCACTGCAGCATCATCAGTGGCACATGTGTCATATCTGACAATCATCTCCTTTATCATTCCGTTTGCATGGCATATCAGTCATAAATTAAGACAGTTCTGCATTTATAGCAGCATTAGTGTGCACTTTATTCAGTCTGCGTCATGTCGGAGTTCTCCAGAGATAAACATTGCTCATTGATCACAGACCCACTGGTTAGTAAATATATTATATTAAAGAAATATATATTTAAAGAAAAGAATATTCAGCATAATATTTAATACTTTAAAGAACACTTTATTTTAAAGTGTCCTTGTTTCAGTGTAATTATAGGCTATATTTAAGTACTGAGTAATATTAATTACCTACATGTATTTACTTTGGGGTTTGGGTTATATTAGGGTTAAGGTTAGTTGCATGTAATTTTGAATAATCTTTAGTTATTTCTATAGAAACTACTAGATGCACACAAGGACACTGTAAAATAACGTGTTACTGAATATTTATCACTGAATTAATAATCAACATTCAGTAACAGTAACATTCAATACCTAATATAGAGTATTCAAAATATTTCATATTTAGAACATGTCATAAAATGTTATAGAATATTCAGTATAAATAAAATGAGTAATTTAATAGAACTGAATAGATTGTTTAGATAAAAATGTGATACATTTATTTCAAACATTTTCATCAACATTTTAATAGAATATTCGGCATAAACAGAATAGATTAGTTAATAGAATTGAATTAAAATATTTGATATTTAGAATATTTGAATGTTATCTAATATTTAATATTCAGAAAAAGAATAGAATATTCAGTATAACTGACCTACTATACCATACACTTCTAACCACAAATAACATTTGCACATGTCGTGGGCTTATTATATTGGTTGTGTTTTGAAACTTAGTAAGCTCCCTAACTAGTTAGTACTGATGGGTTTGAGATGATGGGGCTTAATGACAGAACCGCATTGAGCAGTAGGTTGAGTTATCAACATGTTTAAATGTGATATTGTGATATTTCAACAAGTCTCGTGTTTTACTGCCATGTTTAGTGTCGATTTGCTCCAGTATGTTGTATTTGGCTCAAAAATTCTTTTTTTTATTTTAAATGTTGTTTATTGCTCTGTTGTCAGGGGTCAAATTTGAAAGCATGCTCGTGCTTCCAAGGAGGAAACAGTGCCAGTAGTGCAGTGTGGCTGAAATCCAGCCCCACATAGTGTCTGCTGTCAGTGAATCAGGTTTAGTCCAGCACAGCACTCAAACATTGACTTATTGCATGAAACAATAATAAGAATTGATTCCTGTTTTATTTTCAACTCGCTCTCTCGCTCTTACACGATCGAATTCAGAGAGCCTGAATGCTGACAAGTAATTTCTGAAACACTGTCAAATCCAATCCGGTCGACAGGGATTATGTTTTTCAATATTTTTTCCTGCAGGTCTTAAGCTATGGTATTATACTGTGACACTCTTCGCATGATAAACTGCATATGAATGCAAATACAAGCCATCAGAAATGGATAATCACAAAAAGCAGAACATTTTAATTTTCATGATCCACTCAGGAAATTACAGGGGCTGTTTGTTTAATCATTTGCTACATTGTATTACACCGTTTTCCAAAATTATTTTCTTAAAAATTAAGGTTGTCGGGGGGAAAGTTTAAAAAATCATGTCAGAAATCCAGATTAGGAATCTTATCTCAAAGTAATTACAGTAAATGCATCACCAAAAAGACTGTTAAATAAGACGCTAGAGGCTGGACAGTCAGTGAAGGGATGGACGCAGCTCAAGGATGTGTTTCCTCTCTTTCTGTTGCTGCTGTTATCCCCGACAGCGCTGCTCTGGTTACATAAGGAAGGTCCTTGCGTTGCACAGGCCTTGAAGTGATGAGTGCTACAACCCCTCTGTCACAACAAATTTGTCAGAGCATTCAGCAGGAGACATTAAGTCAAGTCACCTTTATTAATATAGCGCATTATACAATACAATACAGATAGATTCAAAGCAGCTTTACAGTGATGCAAACAGAGTTCATTTCAGCTGTACAACAGCTCTAAATGAAAATAGTGTCATTGTTCAGCTGTTCAGTGTTGATTCAGCTCTAAAGAAAGATCATCAATTATAAAATTAGTTCATTTAATCTATAAAGCAGTTCTGCAGAAAACAGCGATGTCATCGTCCAGCACAGTTCAGTTCTCATCCAATACTGTCAGTGCAGTGAAATCAATAATATTGTTGAATATTAAGTGTCCCCAACTAAGCAAGCCAGAGGCGACAGTGGCAAGGAACCCAAACTACATCAGGTGACATAATTGACTTGGTAGAAACCAGGCCCAGTCAGGGGGCCAACGAACAAACATAGTGTGATAATGTCTGCATCACAAGTCAGAAATCAGATTGTGGTTTGGTAGCATTCAAATATTTTATACAGTTCCTTTTGCTTGAAGATCAGATTCATCACGCCAGTATGGAGACGAAGCTGGTCATAGGTCTGTGGTCTTGTCTGGTTCTTGTGGTCTTTGCTGAGGATCTGTGCCGATGGCTGTCGTGTCGACGAGGCCTTCACAGGGGATTGTCTAGTAGACAGGATCTCTGCTGACATTCAGGGCTGCGTTGTGGTCGTGTCTTCTTGGTGCTGGTCCACCATCTGATCTGGATATGGACTGGATACGGCTGACTACGGTAACCTCGGGATATTAATTTAAGGGGGAAATTAACCAAGTTACAGGTACTGTTCCCCCAAAAATGTAAACCCTGTCATTATTTACAGTACTCACCATTATGTCTTTCCAGACTTGTATGCTGTTATTTTCTTAATGGAACACAAAAGTAAACATATTTACGCAACTCTTTCCATAAAACAAAGAGTCTGGGTTCAGAAGACTGCGGGCCTGTCCAAATACCCACACTTGCTGTCTTGGACACTTGACTGTCCCAAGTCTGAAAAATCTCCAAAGCTCAGTGCCCTTAACTTACACTAAATCCAAATTATCTCTAATACCGATTCGGAGCAGTATTTGGGGCTAAAGCCTGGCTCACACTACAGGAGTTTTAGGCCGATTTATGCCCGATTTTCCCCTCCCGAGAATCGGAGAAAAAATCTTGTCGAG